TGATCAGTTTCATGTTGCTGCTGATCAGTTTCATGTTGCTGCTGATCTGTTTCATGTTGCTGTGTTCATGCGTGCTCATCTGCTCACACTGTCTCATGCTCATGTTCGTGCTGCTGTTCAATGTAATGTTTTTTAGTGTATTTTTAGTTTGTTTTTCTTAGTTCATATCTTGGATGTTATCATTGTTTTTCTTTTACATTTTTATTGTTGGATGTAACTGGGACCCTGTGTACATAATTTCATTCCACCACATGTACCACATGTGGTGGAACAACAATAAAGAATGTCTGACTCTGACAACCCAGTGACAAGGATGCATGCAGCCGCAGCACAACGTGATGACGTCATGTGCGCCTACCTGATCTCATGGTGGAGAGGAAAATTCTAAATGTCTGAGGTGTGGAAGTTTTTTTTTTTTTTGATGAGGATGTCAGATTCTGAAGGTTTTTGGACTACGTTGAGCCTCGCTACATCATCCTCAGTCTGAGATATTTTTCCGACCTAGCCTTACCCGAGTTACAAGCCGTCATTTCTGACGTCACTGAGAAGCTAACAGCCGATAGCACTTGGGTGAGTTTTACCGCAGACATTTGGACGTCGTGTTAGCCCCGTTAGCATGATTAGTCTTACGGCACAATGATAGACAAAAACTTTGAACTTAAAAAGTCTGTCCTTCATGCACAGGAGTGCAGAGGATCACACACTGCAGCTAGAAACCCAGAACAAGCCTCCACAAGTGAGACAGCATCACAGGTGACTAATGCTAATAAATAACATTTAACATTTTTCATTGTATATAAAATATCTATCGGTTATCGGCCAAATAAGTTTTAACATATCGGATAAAAATCCAATATCGTGCATCCCTAGTTTTTATTTTATTTAGTGGATTAAATGAAATGAAAACTATCCACCGGTGATGTGTACAGCAACTAGTACACACACGGTGGGGTGTGCTGGTGGAGCTCACGCCTGTTTTTGTTTTATTTAGTGAATTAAATCAAATGAAACTAAAAACAGTGGTGTGGGCGGTGGTGGATTCCGCCGGGAATTAAATAAAGTGAAAGTAAAAACAGCATAATCTTTAGTGAAATACTTCCACACTGTTGATCAATTTCTACCTGTTTGGGAAGACTTTGCCCGCTCCTCGCCTTCCATCTGCTTGGAAGAATCAGTTTTGTAGCCAGCGACCCAGCTGCTCACGTGACACACCCACTGACGGTGACTAGTCGATGTGAAATTTAAAAACTCGCGAGATGTCCCAGAATCGACTAGTCAATTAGTCTATCCAGCCCCTAGGCACAGCACATCTTGCTCATCTTTTCTCTTGTTTATTTCCTTCTCATCTCAGGCCCAGAGTTTGTGTCAGAAGAGAACTGCATCTTTGTAGGCATGGTGACCAAGGACCTTGATGTGTCAGAGCTGGCTAGTACAATCACTTCCCTGGGGAGGGAAATTGAGGAAAGTGGAAGGGTAAGTACCTGAGGCCTTGAACCATTCAGAACAAGTGTTGAATGAGTTCTTTAGGTTTACCTTCATCATACAGTGGCATTGAAATGCAATTTCAAAAGAATCAAATATAGAAAAGGACTGGAACATTTCTGAAGAAATTCTGAAGGGCTGTCAATAAAACCACTGGAAGAAAGTCCTTCATTTTTCACCCTGAAGCCCAGCAGTGCTGCTAAAATCACTGTTTTTATGTATGAGCTGTAGAAGAGTAGAGAGCCAGTGGCTCACTAGGGTTGCCATAGTAACCATAGTGCCCGTCACTGACTGCACTCTTAATGAAACGGGCAGATAGAAGTGCAGTCTAAAAAGTAAGCCTCAGACAAACAATTCTAGTGTGAAACCTAGAAGTTGTGTTGAAAAATGTTTCTTCCCAGAAGTGGCAGAAAAGTCTCATGTTTTTTGTTTCTACAGTGTTTGATGTCGGACATTTGACAAGTTAAAACGCACATGACTTCCAGTTTGGAGGAGAAATGTTTAAGCTTAGATACGGTATCAGTCAGTGAGAGTTTGTGTGTGTGCGTGCATGCGCGTGCGTGTGTGTGTAGGGGGCGGGGGGGGGGGGGTTAGAGAAAACCATCAGTCCTGTGACAGTGAGATGTACGCAGGGTGAAAGAAGATGGATAATCTGTAGAGGGATAATCTGTAGAGAGGTGTAAAGTTTGTTAGAATAAGATTGTATTTAAAATAACTTTGATGATGTCACACTTCCTTTTAAAATCACCAGTCACAGATGGACCTGCGAGTGTTTTGAAGGGCTCTACCAACAGGTTCAACTCTGTTTTGCCAAATATCCATCCTCTTTACCCATTTCTTCCTTTTCGGGTCACCAGGGTCACTGGTGCCCATATCCAGCCATCACTGTATTGAGAAGCAGGGACACCCTGGACAGGTCTGCAGTCCAGCACAGGGACACACAGAGACAAGAAACCATTCACTCTCTCACCTATAGGGACAATTTAGTTACCAATCAGCCTAACATGCATGTTTTTGGTCTGTGGGAGGAAACCGGAGCACCCGGAGAAAACCCACACAGCACATAGAGAACATGCAGACTCCACCCAGAAAGGACCCCGGCCATGATTTGATCTGGGGAGACCTGCTTGCTGAGAGCCAACAGCTCTACTGAGACACTGTGCTGTCCTTTGCCAAATATCAAATTTATAATTGGCAATAAATAGAACTTGGGTATAAATGTGCATAATCACCTACAAGACTGGTATTATTATTAGTGCACATTAGTGCACATGGGTTTACCCTGTAAATGTCAGATTAAGCCATGAGGGCTACTTTTCATCTGTAGTGCCTGGCCAGTTGATGGTAAAACACAGAAGAAAATAAATTAAATAAAATACACAAACAGGTGGGTAAAAACCAACAACTAGAAAGTTCCTGGAGAAACTTTGACGGGGACTGCCAGGCTGCTGCCGATTTAAATTGTTGATTTGATGGTAAAATGGGTTTGTGATTGCTCTCAGCTACCACTTTACCAAATTTCAGCTGAATCGCTTATAAAATGTCCGAGTTATGGTATTTTTTCTCTTTTAGCTAAGGCAGCCATTTTGGATTTTGGATTTTCAGTCAGAGATTATTAGGGATCATTCTCAGCTACCAATTTGCCAAATTTCAGCTGAATCGCTCAAAAAATGGCTGAGTCTCTCTGGGGGGTGCGGGTGTCCCTGTTGGGGGACTTCTGGAGCCCCGGGCTTGGGGGCCGCTGTGCGTCTGTGGCTCCGGTCTTCCCTGTGTTACCATCGTGTCCTGTGGGGACGGGTCTGTGGGTCCCCACATCCACTATTGAACATTTTTATGAGAAACCTTATAGTGACATCATGCTCACACAGGTGTTTAGATCCAGGTGTTTATCAGATGCACACTCAGTTGGGTTGTGGTGGCCGTCAAATATATATTGTATTACCATGTACTGTATAAAATACTTTCTAATGATGTTAAAACTATCATTATATATGTTGTTTGTTGTTGTGGTTTCTCGGTTTTTTCTTTTCTTTTTTTTTCTTTCCGCAGGTCTAGAGTCAGACTTCAATGATGTTGATTTGTGTTCTCTTTCTCTCTCTCTCTCTCTCCTCTATTCCTATCTCCTTCTTTACCTTTTAACCCTTCTCCCACGTTTCTGCTTTGTTATCTTCTGAAACAAGCCCAAAGCAAATTCTAATAAAATTTAATTTATTTATCAAGTGGAGCGTTAAGACCAGCCATAATGTTCTGCTTGTGAAAGTAAATCTGTTGGGCATCACTTTGACACTCAGACAATAATTCTAAGTGTCACAATGACGGACAGGACAAGGGGAAAAAATGTCTGAGTTATAGTATTTTTTCTCTTTTAGCTAAGGTGGCCATCTTGGATTTTTGATTTGGATCCAGTATATGATAAAGAACATTCTCAGCTACAACCTCAACAAATTTCAGCTTTCTTTGTAAAAAAATGGCTGAGTTAAATCTATTTAAAAGTAGCGTTGTCTGCCATCTTGGATTTTTTTTTATTTTGACACAGCATTTGATAGAAAACGTTCTCAGCTATCACCACACCAAGTTTCAGCTCAGTATCTTTAAAATTGACTGATTTATAGTATATTTTGTTTTTTGCTTTGTCGGCCATCTTGGATTTTTGATTTTCAATCAGAATCTATTAGATCATTTGCAGCTACCAATACGCCAAATTTCAGCTCAGTATCTCTTAAAATGGCCGAGTTATCATATTTTTTTTCTCTTTTAGCTAAGGTGGCCATCTTGGATATTTGATTAACATTAGGAATGTATTACAACTCACTCTCAGCTACAACCATACTTAATTTCAGCTCAATATGTCAAAGAATGACCGAGTTACAGTCAATTTTGTGTTTCCTGCGGCAGCTATGGCAGCCATTTTGAACCAAAATGACTCCAGACGTTAATCAGCTCTAGAGATAAGTCTGGTGATTACTTTCTGCGAGTTTCAAACAAATCCAAAAACGAGTTTCTGTTTTGTAGCTCAATATCTCAAAGAATGACTGAGTTACAGTCAATTTTATATATGCTGAGGTAGCTATGGCAGCCATCTTGAATCACAATGGCAGGTTAATTTTCTAAAGCATTGTCTTGCAGCTAATTAACTACCTTAGGCTAATTAGCTACATTACCTGCATTGCCTTGCTTCGCAAGTCAATGCACTGCCTTGCATGCTGAACCAAAATGGCTCCCAGCGTTATTCAGTTTCTTTGAAAAGTTTTCTTCCATTCATTTCCTATGGGAAATTTGACATATTTGTTAGCAAATTACGTTGCCATGGTAACTCCAATTGCCAATAAAAGTAATGGTACACATCTCGGAGCCGGGCCGGTCGTTTTGATATAACTTTTGTGGGGGTCCACGTTGCGTTTCGGGCCGCATTAATGGAGACGGAACAATAATAAATAAATGCTTATTGGGTGTAGAATAATAGCTGGCTTCTGTAGTGGGTTGAGAAATGGCTACATTAAAAAAAAATAAAAATAAACCTTGGTTGTAATAATCCCCCCCCCCCCCCCCCCTCTTATTTTTGGTTGTAATTTTGAGCTAGTCTCAACTTCTCTGCCCTTAATTTTATATTCTGTGCATGCAGCTTCTTACCAGTAGAGGGCACTCTCATGACACTGGTCTGCCAGGGAGGATGTAGTTTCTGGTTCTGGGCATGCACAGCTCAGAATACATGAGCTCTGGCCTGGATAACGTGTAATAACCGTCTCCTCTCTGTGATCCACAGTGTTGTACTGGTTGCACAGTGCTCCTCAACCTGTGTGCTGCTTGCTGCTGGCCTAGATTCCCCTAGGTCTGGTGCTGGTAACACTTCCATGCATTTGCATGGAGGCAGTGCATTGCAATGGCAGCCCCCAACTACTCTATGCTAATAGGATCATAAAAAAATATTTTCTGTCTTATTTTGTTATTGTTTTGAATATCTTTTTTTTTTGTTTTACTTGTCATGGGACTGTGGATGCAAAGTAGTTTTTGCTATAATCTGGTACAGCGCATCAAATGGTGACATTTATGTTTGAGTTGTACTTTGTCCCTTTTTTAAATAAAGTTCATTCATTCAAATCCAATGACAACAAAGCTACACAAGTAACCCAAGTGACCCATAATCAGATATTGTAAGTTATAAGTGATAGCTGTTACAAAGTTATTTGATCTAAATGTAACTTTGATAGAAACATCAGCATACCTGCCGTCTTCCTGATCTGACAGTGTATCTGTGTGGATGGACTAAAAGAGGTCTGATAGCAAAACTTATTTTGGGATTAACTGCTAGGTGTAACTTAATCAGAGCTGACCACGTGCAGTTTGATGAGATAAAGTGAAAAGGATAAATCCAAACGCTTCTCCACCTGAACTCCTTTTCAAGATGCCCAGCTCTTGTAAACGGGTCAAATTCAATTCAGTTTATTTATATAGCGCCAAATCATAACAAAGTTGTCTCAGGGCACTTTACAGAAAGAATCACATACATAGAAAAGCCAATTAGTAAAGTTCTCTGTCTAAGGAAGCAGCAGATTGTGATGAATCTTCACTTTGTCGCAGTTTCCCATACTGAGCAAGCACAAAGGAGACTGTGGAAAGGAAAAACTCCATTTTAACAGGAAGAAACCTCCAGTAGAACCAGGCTCAGGACAAGCGGACATCTACTTCGACCGGCTGGGTTTGAGAGGACAGGAAGGAGAGACAAACACAGAATGCCAGGTCCAGGTGTAGGTGCAGGTGAACCTGAAAGACAAAAACACAAGTTAAGGATAGAACAATAATTACAAATACAAAACGGGTTGCTCAGAGTAAGTAAAGACAGTAGCAGAGTGAAGAAATGTGGTCAGTTTGTCCTCCAGCAGTCTAAGCAGCATAACTAAGGGACAGCTCAGGAAACCCAAGCCGACCCTAACTATAGGATTTAGCAAAAAGAAAAGTCTTAATCCCAGTTTTAAAACTGGAGAATGTGTCAGCCTCACGGACAGAGACTGGAAGATGGTTCCACAAGAGATGAGCCTGATAAAAGAAAGATCTGCCTCCCATTCTGTTTTTGTAAATTCTAGGAACCACAAGTAAACCTGCAGTCTGAAAGCAAAGTGCTCTGTTAGGAAAATATGGAACAATAAGATCTGTAATATAAGATGGAGCCAGGTTGTTGAGAGCTTTGTAGGTTAGAAGTAAGATTTTGAATTATATTCTGGACTTGACAGGGAGCCAATGGAGGGAAGCTAAAACTGGAGAAATATGATCTCTCCCAGTAACTCCAGTTAAGACCCTGGCAGCAGCATTTTGGATCAACTGAAGATGTTTTAAAGAAGTATTTGGACACCCAGATAATAAACCATTGCAATAGTCCAGTCTAGACGTGACAAATGCATGAACAAGTTTTTCTGCATCATTTTTAGATGTTTCTAATTTTAGTGATATTTTTCTTTTTTTTTTCATTCAACCTTTATTTATACAGATAAATCACACTGAGCCTCGAGGACTCATTTACAAGTGAGACCTGTTTAGACGGACAAAAAGTGACACGTATAGGATTTGGAGGCAAAAAAAAATCCTAACAGACTCTCATTCCCTGGCCGAGGAAAGATTGCCTGAAATTGAAAAAAAACACCTGCACAGAGATACATAGTGACGCAGACATTCCACAGGGGAGGGAGATGACAAGGGCGGTGAGCGTATCCAAGGACACTCCAGAGGTACTGTAGGAGTCCTGATAGAGTGGTATAAACAGCCGCTTCCCTTTGGTGAAATTCATAAACAATCTCGAGGGTGTCAAGGTCGACTAAGGACAGCGCCAGAGAGAATTCAAGAGTCCTGAAATTATGACACAATGTTTATTCAGCTGGGTCCCTCTGATAGGGCCGCATACTTCCACGGTGGGAGGGGAGGGGGCAGAGTGTCGATTTACAGGGCCTCCAGGCAAATTCAGATAAATAACATTTGTTTTGGGGACAGGCTGAACTTTCCTGATTTATGTTTGCCTTCACTCTTTGCTGGTTCTCACGGAGATCCTGAAGCATCCAAATTAAGTGGACACACCACTGGTCCATGCCTGAGAGTGTTCCCCGAGATCTGATCCATCCTGCCAGCGAATCCTAGAGGCTGCAAGTGGCCTGCGATTCTCACAAATCACATCCAATTTGCGGTTCAATTTGCAAAGCAATTGAGTCTGGGTGCTCGAGGCACGGAGCAAACCATCACATAAGGCAGGCAGCCTGACCAGGGCCAAATTTGCTGCAGACGACTTTCTTGTTCGTTGATAAACCAGGAACCAGTCGATTCCAAAAAGCAGGAAACCTGTTGTCATAAATCCAGATATATATGCATCTTCAACATCCTCGATGGACAGCAGAGATAGACACCTCACCTTCCAAACGCCCCAGGAATCAATGACACATCCAGCGTGTTATCAGGGCAAGTTGGCTCACCTGAAGCTTGTCTTCTCATTGAGAAAATTTTATCAATTGTGTTGAGAGACCAGCTGACCAGATCCATAGCAAAAATTACGGTTCAGAAGATATTTAGAGAGAGGATCTGAAGTAGTTTCACAGACAGGACAGAGCAAAGCAAAGTGAAGGAGAGGAGGGGAGGGGAGGGGAGGGGAAAAAGTTTCTGCCCTTGACAAGAGCAAGTGGTGAAGTGATGTATTACGCAGGTGGAGGAAAGCAGTTCTGGTAACGTTTTTAATGTGAGGGTTAAAAGACATATCCTTATCAAAAATAACACCAAGATTTTTAACTTTAGATCATGGAGTTGTCAAAGAGTCCACCTTGCTTCAGCTTTGTGTTCTGACCAGATGTTCTGTGTTCTGCAGCTGTTTGAGAACATGACGGAGCGGGTGAGGAAAGGCATTCTGGAGGCAGAGCTGCAGCTGCAGAAGGACAACGAGGACAAACTCATGGAGGAGGTGTGTGTCTGCGTGTGTTTGTTTTTTTGTGTTTTTACGAGGTTGTGGATATAAAACATGAACCGTGTGATGCAGGGGATGCTGAGGCAGCTTCCTCTGGTGGGTTCTGTGTTGAACTGGTTCTCTCCAGTCCAAAGCTCCATCAAGGGCAGGACGTTCAACCTCGCAGCAGGTACTGGGCTGACGCTCTGTAAATCTTTTCTTTTAAAATGTTTGTGAGTTGTTTAAATGGCTGCATTCTCACTTTCTAAACTCCACTTCATGACTCCACACTGGATCTTTACAGAATGAGGTAAAAATATGTATTTACAACGAACATATTGAAAAAAATGATATTTTAATGATTTGAGTAAATGAGGCATTACTGGCTGATGAAATGTAATGTTTTTTTAAAGTGCAGGTTTTTATAAATAATTAATGGCTCTTTAGCTAAGTTTTGGTTTTTGTCCCCTGTCGTGGAGCAAATGGGGAAAACTGGAAATCCCCTCAGTCCGTTCATGGTGTGGGTGGGATGTCTTGAAAAATAAGTGAGGTCCCGACCTCTATTTTCATGTGTGGCTGCATATTGGCATGGGAAAGGTTCTTTGCAAAACGGGGGTTGTCACTTCAAAATCCAAGATGGCCTCCACCATATATTTTATATAAACTGGCCACCCCAATCATTTGAGGAAACTACGCTTTCTAGCTTTTATATTGCCTAAAGTTTTTACTTAAATGATTGGGTGGAGCCCTGTGATGGACTTGCGACCTGTCCAGTGTGTACCCCGCCTCTCGCACAGCGATGGCTGGACATGGGCACCAGTGACCCCCAAGACCCAAAAAGGAAGAAGCAGGTAAAAGATAATAGATGGATTGATGGATGATTGGGTGGCTAAAGATTAATCAATGCTGGGGCCGAGAGGGGTAGAGGCAGCGCAGCTGACTCGGGACCTGAAAGTTCCCACATGTCATGGTGTCTCTGAGCAAGACACCCAATCCCTAATTGCTCCCCGTGCGCTCAATAGCTGCCCACTGCTCCACCTGGGTGTATCCTAGGTGTGATGGGTTAAATGCAGAGAACTAATTTCACCATTGTATGGGAACATACAATGATGCCAACACATAGCAATTTACTAGGCCACCATTGCCCCCAACCCCTCCTTGGCACCACCATTGCTCCTGGTGGTAGATAAAATTGCTCCCTCCATTCACCAGAATCCACCACTCTTCACCGCCTCAGACAAGCAAAACTAACTAAATATAAACTACTTCTATTCTCCACAGTGTAGCTCCTACCTACTTGAATATTTTGCACCAGAAACGTTAAGGTTTACTAACATTCTCTGTTCAATTCCAGTCCAGACAAACACTCATCTCCAAAACTGCTAACATTCACTCGTCAAGTCCCTCAGAGACGGGGGACATTTGTGTACTGCTTGTTGTACAAACCGGATTCCAAAAAAGTTGGGACACTAAACAAATTGTGAATAAAAACTGAATGCAATGATGTGGAGGTGCCAATATTATATTAATAACTAATATTTTATTCAGAATAGAACACAAATCACAGATCAAAAGTTTAAACTGAGAGAATGTATCATTTTAAGGGAAAAATCTGTTGTTTCCAAATTTCATGGCGTCAACAAATCCCAAAAAAGTTGGGACAAGTCCATTTTGACCACTGTGTGGCATCCCCCCTTCTTCTTACAACACTCAACAGACGTCTGGGGACAGAGGAGACCAGTTTCTCACGTTTAGAAATAGGAATGCTCACCCATTCATGTCTAATACAGGCCTCTAACTGTTCAATCGTCTTGGGCCTTCTTTGTCGCACCTTCCTCTTTATGATGCTTCAAATGTTCTCTATAGGTGAAAGATCTGGACTGCAGGCTGGTCATTTCAGTACCCGGATCCTTCTCCTACGTAGCCATGATGTTGTGATTGCTGCAGAATGTGGTCTGGCATTATCGTGTTGAAAAATGCAGGGTCTTCCCTGAAAGAGATGACGTCTAGATGGGAGCATATGTTGTTCTAGAACCTGAACTAGTTCTCTGCATTAATGGTGCCTTTCCTGACATGCAAGCTGCCCATGCCACAAGCGCTCATGCAACCCCATACCATCAGTGACGCAGGCTTCTGAACGGAGCGTTGATAACAACTTGGGCTATCCTTGTCCTCTCTGGTCCGGATGACATGGCGTCCCAGTGTTCCAAAAAGAAGTTCAAATCATGACTCATCTGACCACAGAACAGTCTTCCATTTTGCCACACTCCATTTTAAATGACCCCTGGCCCAGTGCAAACGTCTGAGCTTGTGGAGCTTGCTTAGAAATGGCTTCCTCTTTGCACTGTAGAGTTTCAGCTGGCAACGGCAGATGGCACGGTGGATTGTGTTCACCGACAATGCTTTCTGGAAGTATTCCTGAGCCCATTCTGTTATTTCCTTGACAGTGGCATTCCTGTTTGAGGTGCAGTGACGTTTAAGGGCCCGGAGATCACGAGCAGCCAGTAGAGTTTTACGGCCATGACCCTTACGCACAGCGATTGTTCCAGATTCTCTGAATCTTTTGATGAAGTTATGCACGGTTGATGATGATAACTTAAAAGTCTTTGCTATTTTATGCTGGGTAACACCATTCTGGTATTGCTGCACTATCTTTCTGCGCAACAATGGTGGAATTGGTGATCCTCTTACCATCTTGGCTTCTGAGAGACACTGACACTCTGAGAAGCTCTTTTTATACCCAATCATGTTGTCAATTGACCTGATTAGTGTTAATTGGTCTTCCAGCTGTTCGTTATATGCTCAATTTCCTTTTGCCAGCCACTTATTGCTTCTTGTCCCAACTTTTTTGGGATTTGTTGACACTGTGAAATTTTGAATCAACATATTTTTCCTTTAAAATGTTACATTTACTCAGATTAAACTTTTGAGCTGTCATCTATGTTATATTACAAATAAAATATTGACATTTGCCATCTCCACATCATTGCATTCAGTTTTTATTCACAATTTGTTTAATGTCCCAACTTTTTTGGAATCCGCTTTGTACTTGCACCCCCTCCCCCACAGATTTCCATGTAATGAAAGGTTTATAAAGTAGTAATGACATGAGTAACTATGAATGTTGTCAGGATGGAGCTGTTTAAAGACAGAAGCAGTCCACTTTGCTTTAGCTGCATTCAGACATGCCATTAGCTCATTATTCATCCATCTGTCCATCATCCATATCTTGCACTTGTTCCGAAGTCAGGTCTCGGGGGCAGCAGCTTGAGCAGGGAGGCCCAGACATCTTATTCGATAGCCACCTCTTCCAGCTCTTCTGGGAGGACCCCAAGGCATTTTCAAGCCAACAGAGAGACATATAGTCTCTCCACTGTGTTTCCCCGGGGTCTCCTCCCAGTCAGACATGCCCAAAGCACCTCCCTAGGGAGGCACCCAGGGAGCATCCTTACCAGATGCCTGAACCATCTCAACTGGTTCCTCTCGATGTGGAGGAGCAGCAGTTCTACTCTCGAGTCTCTCCTGACAACTGAACTTCTCACCCTGACTCTAAGGGAGGGTCCAGCTACCCTGAAGAAGAAACTCTTTTCACCTGCCTGCATCCACGATCTCCTTCTTTCAGTCACCACTCAGAGTTCTTGAGCAGAGGTGAGGGGAGGAACATAAACTGACCTGTAAACAGAGCTTTGCCTTACAGCACAGCTCCCCCTTCACCACAATAGACCAGCACAGAGTCCACAATACTGCAGACGCTGCACTAATTGATCTATCAATCTCACGCTCCATTCTTCCCTCACTCGTGAACAAAACCCTGAGATACTTGAACTCCTCCACTTGAGGCAGATCCTCACCCTCGATCTGGAGAGAACAATCCACCCTTTTCTGTTTGAGGACCATGGCCTCAGATTTGGAGATGCTGATTCTCATCCCAGCAGCTTCAGACTCTGCTGCAAACCACTCCAGTGAGAGCTGAAAGTCACGGCACGATGAAGCCAACAGGATCACATCATCTGCAAAGAGCAGAAATGGAATCCTGCAGCACCTGGCTGCACCGAGAAATTCTGTCCATATAAGTTATGAACAGAATCTGTGACAACAGGCAGCCCTGGAGGAGTCCAACTCATTGCTCATTATTTATGTCAGAATTAAACTTCTGTTCTCATCCAAGGTCTTTCAGATTAAATGTTCATACTTTTTACACAGACCACTACTTTAGAATGGCTGAACTATCCTTTTGATAAGAAAATGGTGTCAAACGAAAATAAAGTTTCATTAATTTTTCATCTTTCACATCTGAGTCACTGTGAGGGTCTTCAGGAAAGTATTGTGTGTGTGTAACAAATGTAGCATGCATGTTAATGACTGTGTCTTTAGGTTCTTTGGATTCCACAGATGTGATGTTCTCCACCAAGGCTCAAGAGGGCACAACGACTTTGCAGGACCCCCCCACAGTCACGTCCAAAAAACTGCCAGGTGTGCCAGCAGCGTTCTGTGTTTTGTTTTAGAAAAATATGAATACATGTCAGAATGAATCTTCAAAAACGTACATTACATGAAATAATACCATTCTGTAGCTCTTTTTATTATTAAATTCTATTTATTACACTTGTAATATTTTATGTCAACAATTAAAAACAAACACACCCTCAACTCCAATGCCAACCTCTAATCTTAAATGGACATTTTTTACAGATACAGACTTTTATTTGAAATAAAATAATTAAAAACAAATAAATACAAGTTAAAAAGAATAACAAATCAAACACAAGGTCTATAAATTCAAAGATTCAAGGTTCTTTATTGTCATTCACATCATACAGTATGTGGTACATGAGGTGGAACAAATCTGTGTACACAGGGTCCCAGTTACATCCAACAACAGGAAGAATATAAATGTAAAAGAAACAGAAAATAAGGATCTAAGATGTAAACTAAGAAATACGTAAAACTAAGAATATAATAAAAAAATTAAAAAAAGCCCAACAACAGCAGCACGAACGAGTCTGTGTGAGTAAATACATAAACACATATACACTTTCAAAAACGATGTATAAAAACTTCTAGCTCACCCTACTCTTTCACTTGAGTGCTTCCACTTCACTGCAAACTCAAGTCCTCTACCAAAAGCCTGGGTTCTGAGGGTTCTGTTCAGTATGTCAGCTGTTTTTCTGGACAGGGATCTCTCAGGTTGTTCCTGGGATCTGTTGGAGTCAATCTTCCAGTTTGGGGGTCACAGCACCGAGTGCTCCAAAGACCACTGGAACTACTGACACCTCGACTTTCTACCATTTCTTCTTATCCTACTTCAGCCATCTGTGTTTCTCCAGCTTCTCCTGCTCCTTCTTCTTGATACCAATCTTTGGGATTGCTACATTTATCAGCAGTTTAATGTTGTAGATTCTCAGTCATCAGGACATGGATAGCCCTACAAGTTTTAACACAGAGTAACTGGACTCGGTCTACTTCCATTTCATGCTTGTAACAAAAGCAACTTTCTATGAGTCCAGCAAACAAAGACCCTCAGGTGGGAGGGCAGTGAGTTTAATCTGCAGGTGAATTTAGCTGCATGAACAGAGCATCTCATCCAGTTTAAAGCTTGGAACTCTACTCTCCACTTCTGACCTGACAAAGCTCCCTGGACAGCAAGTGTCTGTGTGGCCGGGGAGTGGTGGCGCAGAGGTTAGAGAAGGTGGGCCTGTGATTGGAAGATCGCCAGTTCAAGACCCGGTGCTGACAACATCAAAAATGTGGGTGGGGTAGGTGAAGCACCCACACCTGCCCCCACCCTCATTCACCCCACTCTGGGCCCATGAGCAAGGCCCTTAACCCCATCTGCTCCCTAAACAGGTCTCTCTCGAAAATGAGTTCTCATGGCTCAATGAGACTACCTGGATAAATAAAGGCAAATGAAAAATGAAAAAAAGTGACGGGCCTTTAAGAAGACAAGTCCAGTTCAAATTCAATTCAAAAATACTTTATCAATCCCAGAGGGAAATTATGTTGTAACTCATCATCCTGGTTTCATTAAAGAGTTGTTCTAGATGCTGATGGCTGTGGGCAGGAAGGATCTCTTGTAGCAGTCTGTCCTACAACGGATCTGAAGAAGCCTCTGACTGAAGACACTCTGTTGTTGTATGACAGTCTGATGAAGAGGATGCCGAGGGTTGTCTAAAATGTTCTTCATTTTATGAAGAATCCTTCTTTAACAATCATCAATTGCTTTGTTTTTAAACTTTTAACATCTATCACCACTGCCTTGTCGACCACCACAATGTCCAATTAGTTAGCCATCACCTTTTTCTTGGCCTGGTTCTGGAAGTCCCACAGTATCTTAGCCCTTCCATTCTCCACCACCCTTGGTGGAGTCTCCCACTTTGACTGCAGGACCGCCAGTCCATACTAGGCACAGATGTTCCTGTATATTATTCCAGATGTTCCTGTATATTATTCCCACCACTTGGTTATAGTGTTCCATGATTTGCCTGCTTGGATCTTACACCCTGCTATTATGTGTTGAACTGTCTCAGGGGCATCTTTGCACAGCCTGCACCTTGGGTCTTGTATGGTCCTGGGTCTTGGGTCATCTTGGGTGTATGGTAGACCTTGGACTCTATTGCTCTTGGTGCTGGGGGCCTGTTCTTGTGTTATGATGATTAGAGCCTCTGTGCTGTCCTTCAGTCCAATCCTCTCTAGCCACTGGCAGGATTTGTTCATATCAGCCACATCCTTAATCTGCCAGTGGTACATGCTGTGCAGGGGCTTATCTTTTCATGATTGCTCCTCTTGTTCCGCCTCTTCTTCACAGAGTTTCTGCTGCTGCCTGAGACGATCATGCATCAGTTCATCATTGGGGTCTTTCCTCCTACTGTAGGACTGTGAATGGAATGTAGACTGCGCCTGCTCTTTTTGTTCGTAATAATATTAAAAGTTTCCATGATCCTTTTCTCTACATTATAATCCTTCTTGATGTGAATATTGGTAAGAAGATAGTGGAGAGGTCATATTTTATTATGTTGGAGACTTTTGAATATTATAGTAGACACAGTAATTATTCTCCGTAAGAATCCTTGAGAAATGTTTACATCCAGCGGCTCCCTGTGTGCACCTGCTGGGTTCAGTTCTGAAACTGTCTAGAACAAGGTGAAGGCAGCCCCCCTGATGAATTCTATACTAAACTAACCTTTTCCGTTTGGGAAGTCGGAACAGATCAGAACCTCAGACAGGTGAAAACATTGATACGTTTGTACTTGTAAATGCATTCATCTTCTGTGATTGTTGGCTGTTCTCCAAAGCTTTGTAATAACTCTGATTAAATACACAACTGATCGTTTTTGGAATTGCTTTTTTCTACGACAGGATCTTAGTTATTTAATGGCTCGAGCAGTTAGTCCTCTGCCTTCCTCCTTTCTCTTGGTGTATATTCTCAGGGTACTGCGCCTTGGCCAGGTATTGACCAATGTGCCTATTCATCTTATGCATCTGTCTCCTATCAGAGATCCTCCTATCATTTGTCTCCTATGTCATACAGAGGCAGGTGATTCAGGACTGTCCAGCCCTGGGTCTACCACTCTGGTGGAGCAGCTGGTTCATTTGTGCTGCATTCAGTTTCTTTAGCTAGTGGATGTGCAGTCCATCTCTGTAGGTCTGCCACTGGTTCTAGTTCAGGGAGATGACTGTCTTGTAACATTATACCCGTTAATTCTCAGATGCTAGCAGACTTTCATAGACATATTAAATGTATTATTTTCCCCTGGGATTTTCAATAATACCCATCATTGATGGGTATACCCGTACTCTTGGTACTTATACTCTGATGAGGTATACCCACCTGACCTGTCCTGGTTCCTCCTTTTCATAGCATCTCTGTTGTACCTCGTCAGTCTCCTGGTATGATTGCAGAGTTCTCTTTTAAATGTTGGAACACTGGGTCTGTTTCTGGGTATCGAAGTTTCCATTGTGTATTTCAACAATATTAACTTATCTGCCCTTGTCCATGCATGTCTTGTTCCAGTATCCCATTTCTCATCAAAATGTCCTGTTTCCCCAACATCTGATGCAGACCTTGTTAATCCAGGTGACATCCAAGCCGACATGGCCTCATTATTAGTCAAGTCAACGTTAGCACATTTAAAACAGCAGCTGTTACCAAAGTGCTTAACAGTAAAATCAATGGGAGGAATTTCATGGGGGGGGGGGGGGGGAAGTAACATAAAAACAATGATGGTACCAAAAGTTAAGTACAAGCATCAAAAGAAAAGCATAGAAACACGGAGCAATAAAATACTACATCAAGTCACACTGTGTAAAAAGCCAGGGAAAACAGATGTGTTTTTAGCAGAGATTTAAAAACAGGAAGTGAAATGGCCTACCTGGTTTTGGGGGGCAGATTGTTCCAAAGTTTGGGGCCCACAACTGAAAAAACCCAATCACCTCTGAGCTTCTCTCTTATTTTTGGAACAGCCAAAAGTAGCTGATCAGATGATTTCAGGGCCCGGGAAGGAACATATGGTTCCAGTAGCTCAGAGAGATATGAGTGTGCAAGGCCATTTTGGCACTTTAAGGTTAGCAGGATAATTTAAAAATAAATTCTGGTATGTACAGGGAACCAGCGAAGGGAGGATAAAACTGGTGTAATGTACTCAAACCTACAAGTTCTTGTTAATGGAAGAACTGGAGACGCGAAATGGAAACCTGACTGACCCCAACATAGTGCGTTACAGTAGTCCAGTGGGGTAGTAATAAAGGCATGAGCTAGTTTTTCAAGGTCAGATCTAGACAACAATGACTTAAGCTTAGCTATCTGCCTTAAATGGAAGAAGCTTTTCTGCAGAACAGAGTTGATTTGTTTATTAAACTTATCAGAGTCTAAAATATTCCAATATTTGTAACAGACTGATATGGTTCAAGAGAGTCCAGGTTTACAGGAACAGACAGTAGTAGTGCTAAGGCCAAACACAATGACGTCAGTTTTCTGATCGTTAAAATTTGAAAGATTTGAAGCCATCCATGCCTTGACGTCTTGACGTTATCAAGACATTTTAACAAAGGGTGAATGGAGCAAGAACTATTAGGTTTTAAGGGCAGATAAATCTGACAATCATCAGCATAACAATGAAATGAAAGACCATGTTTCCTCAGAATAGACCCCAAGGGGAGCAGATAGAGTGAAAACAAAAGGGGTCCAAGAATTGAGCACTGTGGGACCCCACAGAAAAGAGGCACTGACATAGATATACTATTTCCAATCTTAGCACTGGAATTTCTGTCACTTAGGTAAGAACGGAACCATTCTAATGCTACACCTGTAATCCAAACCCAGTGTTCTAACCTTGATTTAAGAATACTGTAGTCAACAGTATCAAAAGCAGCAGTAAGGTCCAGGAGCACAAGTATTGTAAACTGACTAGAATCATTCACTAGAAGAATGTCATTACAAACCCTAACTAAAGCTGTTAGGATGCTGTGTAATTGTTTAAAGTCAGACTGAAAGATGTCAAAAACTCCATTCTCATTCAAAAACTTGTTTATTTGAATAAAAACTATTTTCTCCAGGATTTTAGAAAGACAGGGAAGTTTTGAGGTTGGTCTGAAATTTGAGCAGGGTTTACAGTTTATTTTTTATTTTTTTTAATTAATGCATTTACTACTGCATATTTAAAAGCATCATGGACCACACTTGTAGCAATACTGCTGTTTATAATGGCAAGAACAGAGGTGTTGCAGGTTACGTTGTGTGACTGTGCCAGCTCCCAGCTATAGTGCCTAGAGAGCCTAGAAAGAGAATTCACATCTTGAATGTTTTATTCTTTTATTATTATCATAAATCAATTGTGAGCAATTAAAATTGCCCCTTTTTGTATGTATATAAAAAACTCCTTGCTGACAAAATACATTTTTTAGAAAGTTAATACTGATTAAATAAGGTACTAGTTAGTTTCAGCAGGAGATGGGAGAGAGTGAGCAAACAACTGTTGCCCAGGTTCTTCACTAGTCTTGAGTTTAATGGGAAAGAGAAGCCACTGTTGAAGAAAACCCAGATTAAATCTCAACTAGTCTGGTAAACAGCATTTGGAAGACTTCATGACTGAGTGCTTCTCTGCAGCCGGCCCTGGAAGGTTTGGAAAAATGTAGGTTAAATATCCTGACGAACAATCTGATGCTGTCTGCGAAAGAACCGTTTTTGTATGTAGAGCCTGACCACGCCCGCCTGCTTCAGCAGTAAGACTTCGTCCTCTGGATGAGGGACGAAACATTTCTCACTTAAAGAAACTGGTGCAGATGACATGTTGTTTATCCAGAACAATAAATCTAACGTAGAGGTAAAATATATTCAGTGTTAGTGTTATCTTTGTCATCCTCAGTGAAATTCATTGTCTGAAATCTTTTCTACAAACAACAATAAACTCTGCTGCTGTCAGCACTAATTAGACCTTCACCGTACGAGACTGACTGACTAAACAATGACCAGGGAACACTTGATAACTTTATGGTGAAGGACAGAAAATGTGAAGCACGTTAGAAAGCCTGTCTCAAGACTTCAAGAGTTAGAACAGGTTTAAAAGTACTGGGAGCCGTTTTCTTAGATTCTTGGGGGTGGACAAAGATTTCATTCAATATATCTGTTTATTGGCATTAGTCTTCTCCTCCAAATATCTGTATCGGCGATAGCCGAAATGTTCCTATGGGTCGGGCTCTAGTTGAATGCACGGTGTCTTCCATCTCTCCTGCTGAAGCTGGTCACCCCTTCAGAGTGGTCTCAGGTGTCTGGGGGGTCTTCTTGCACAGGCACTCTGTTTGTGGCTCACTTTGAACTGATGAATGTTGGACATAAATGTTTTTCAGCCTCTGAGCTCTGTCTGACGAGCACCGCTGTCCTCATGGTTCACAGGTCAGAAGTTGTTCCGACGCTCAGGAGGCGGCTCTGACTTCGTTAATGAAACCAGCTCCATGGGACAAACCGAGGAGACATCCAGGGAGGACAGCACCTCAGTGAGCACCACGACAGACCCTTCCACATCTCCACCAGTGCCTGAGACACCTCACCCCTCTGCCAGTGATGGGACAGCGCAGAACATCTCTGAGACATGGCAGCAGGTGGAGACTGAAGGCCAAGAGGTGGAACAGAGTGGGAGATAGGACGTCTCCCCGCTGCAGGTGTCCTCCGTCCACTCCGTGTAGCCAGCCTGAATCAGACGTGTCTTATATTTTGAAAAATGTTTGGTAATTTGAAGAGGAACGTTAAAGGCTGTTTGTTTTGGTCTTCTGGTTTCAGGATGATAAATCTGATCACTGCAGACTGAGTTCAGTGCGTTTCTACTTGTAATAAAGGACGAGTTTGGCTATCTGACGTGAGGTTCTGTGTAAAACTTTGAACTTTGATTCATTAAACCTTCCTGTTGTAGGAAGCTCTTTGGAGTCAGCTACATTTACCATCAACAGAGCCACTTCTGCTCCTTCCCTCACAAAAAGAAAGTGTTCAATGCCCTGTGAAGCAGGAAGTTTAATGAACAGCGGTGCAATCTAACAAACTACTGATCGACACGTTCGTTTCAGACATTTTACCCACATGCTGCAGAAAACTGTACAGATTAGGCTTTCCTACTGTGGTTCTAAACCTACTGTAAAATTCATTTCAGGTTGTTTCTAGTCGAAGTTATGAAAACACCTCGTGTCCCTGGAGCTGCAGGTCACAGACCCCTGAGCTAGCGGCTAATCTAAGCGCAGTCTTACAACATCTTTTTTTAAAGTTTACCGTGGGTCACGCAAACTCTGTGGTTGAAACTTTTACACCCACCTCTGTCAGTTTACATTGCACAGCTAGTTTAGCAGAAATATTCTGAAATTTCTGCAAGAAGTGACCCCTGATGCTCTGGAAGTGCTACAGCTTGCTGCTGCTGCTTGTAAACGGCATGTAAAGAACGCTGCGAGTGTTCATAAAATGCTGTTTGAACAAACCAAAGAAACGTCTGTTTTAAAGCAGCAGTTTGCTGTCAGAGTTTGACTGTCCAAGAGCTATCTACAACAGGTAAGATGTTGATTACACACAGAACACTGTCAGTTTGGCCAAACTGTTCCTCCAGTCTAAGGTCTTCCTGCTCCCAGCTGAGTCTTCTTCAGCAACATGAAGGTTTGTGGAGGGAAACGCTTCTTCTGACCTTCAGAACAAAGACCAACAGCTCACTTGTTTTCTATGTTTTGTAAAGTTGGGAATGAAGAGCTTTTTGTTTTGAGCCCACAGCTGGAAATAAGATCACCTGAACATGAATCTCATGGGAATGTTTAGATATTTTCTTGGTGTAAATTAATTTAGTACCAACAGCTAAAACAAGTCTGTAGAGAAGGATTGTGATTAATTAAAACCTTTAATATTTAATGCCATCTGATGATGAGTCATCTGTTTCCAACTGGTCAACACGTTGATTTATCCGGGCGGCTGCATGAAGGAAACACACATGAAGAAATAAAGTCTCTAGATGAAAACTACAAAGCTGTTTTCCTCCCGGGAGCTAAAACTGATTACAATCTGTAGAAGAATTACTAAACTGTCACTAAAAAAGATTAAAGAATCTGGCCCTGACAAAATGTGTTATTGTCAACTTTCTATTTTGTTGCCCAACACTTTGATGCAATCTCTGTAATCCAGGGATTTGTGTAACTCTGACTTCTGTTCTTGTCCTCCACCTGTCCTCAGGTGTTTTGGTCCACTCATTATCAATGAGCTTTAGCTGTGTCTGGTTTGCAGGGTTTCCTCTCCAGATGTTTCGGCTCCTGCAGATGTTCAACAGGATTGAGATCAGAGCTCACAGCAGCATAGTCCACTCTAAAATGGTGCATTTAAAGTGTATTCGGCCCTATGCAGATTGAAGACGCCCTGTGTGAGACGCAGCAGAGCAACCTGACAACAGAACCGAGCCTCCTGCTTCTTCATTGTAGGTCCACGGTTCTGTTCTTTGGGTGGTCTGTGGACACGGAGCTGATGGGACTTGTTGACAGAAAACTCCAGTTTTGTCTCCTCTATCCAAAGACCTCATCAAAGAAGCTTTGAAGCTTTTCATTTTGTATTTTGGCAGATTCCACTCTGCATGTTTCTGATTTTGTGGCCTCGTCTTCCATGAAGTCCACTTCTTCTGAACCAGACTGATGGGACCATCTGGCACTCATGACGTTTGACCTTGGAGTTAACCTCTAATCTATTTGGAAGTTGTTTTGGGTTTTTTGGTTACAATTCATATTATACTGTATGTCTGAGTTTCAGTTTGTCTTCCATTGTCCTCTTGTGGACACATCCAGGACGTTTGTCTCCGGTCCTGTGGACCTTCTGAATAATGTGCAGCTGAAATGCGAGAAAGCTGCAGGAACAACCATTACCATCGTTGTTGATAGTTTTCTTTCACCTAAGACACTCTGTCCTCTGCTTCCTGTGGCCCATGTTCAGTATACACACCATGACAGCAAACAGCCCTGTGACTACCTGCCACCCTTTCAACAGACTGATTACACACTGAAGATACAAGAGGCTGACGACAGGACACACCTTCATTAACATCCCTGTAGTCAAAATAGGATTTATTTTCAGTCTTTTCTACGAGTTCCTTTCTTTTTGTCAAGGCCAGTTTTTTTAGGTTGATATATGTCTATATATAAATATTATAATATAGAGATATAAATAT